AAAAGAAGAACTAGAACTAACTTGATCAAATTGCAATGTAAATTTGCCAGAAGTTCAACTGTTTCATTTTTGATAACTTTAGATACTAAAATAAGTTTCCAGATAAGTTTTTATTTTTTGAAAAGAACTGAACATCACCATCGCCATTTCCCAAAGTTAAAATTTCTTTCTAAAAATCTTGAAAGTATTCCCCCTTAGATTTTAATCTTTTGTGGAAGGAAGTATAATTACTATTACATTTTTTCATTTGTTATAGTCATAGTGAACTTTCCGGTTTAAAGTTTTGACAGCTATCATTATGCTTAATGTATAAGAACAATGTAATACGAAGATGATAGTGCTTGAGTAAAAGTTAAGTTGTTACTTTTCTGGACTAGAAAAACTGGTCTGAGAATAGATAATGGATGAAAACGATTTTGCATGTAGAGATAAGGACTGGATGAGCAACTGAGAAAACAGAACTCAAGCCATCACTTACCCTCAGTGTTTCTATGTCATATAGCTTTATATAACAACTATGCTTGGATCCATCAGTCCAATTTGTAAGTTGACTCTGTGTGTGAACTGAAGTTGAGTGAAGAACAAAATGTTTGTCTTTTTACTTTGGACCATTTAGCAGCACTTTTCCCTCAGTGCATCCATTTTTTTGTAAATTTATCTTCTTCATAGAGAACTGAAGAGTAACAACAGAAAGATTTAGAAGCAGACACCAAAACTACACAAAAATAGCAGAATAACACAGGAACAAATACACTATTTACCAGGGAAACTACTTATGTTCTTTTATATTTTCAAAAAATATCCAGAATTCCCATTAACAACTTACTTTTAAAAGTGCAACTGTTTTTAGTGTGGTATGCTGTAATGTACCCAAAAGGGTATTCCATTCCTTAAGTTTGGTGTTTTTTGAGAGCTTATGGAAATTTACTGAAGACCTCTGACCCTTCACTTAGATGAAGTAGTTGAGTAACTGAAATTGAGTCTTAGAGTCCTGTTAAACAAAGAAGCAAATGGATTTTTAAAGTTCCTTTGTGTTTAAAACAACCTATTATTTAATTTTTTTTCCTCGCAGTACTCGTAAGACACAAATACCGACTGTAGAGTGAATAACACTTGCTTTCTTAGTGGAATGAATGGCTGCACATCAATATCACACAGCTTTTGAGAATATAGGGAGGTTTTTGGGCTTGAGGACATGACCTGTAAAGCAATTATTGGATCATCTAGTGAACATAAATAAGGCTTGTGATTGAAATTTTGAGTGAAGACATGCTGAAATAGTGGTTAATGTGATTTATGTGCTGGTCAATAACCAACCACAGCACTGCTTCAAGATGATGTTGGTAGTTTCTGAAAGACTGTGATTTCCTTCTCTATTCCAGTGGCCTGATTTTCAGAGACATTGCCTACATTTCTGTCTTAAAATTTCTAAGAACATCAGTTTAGTGCTGTAGGCTAAAATTTACACTACGTTTGTGTCAACATGTGTCGGGAATTATTGTGACAGGTAACAAATTCTGTTTTGAGATGATTTTGAATGGATTTATTTCTAAATTGTAAAGTGACGATATTTTATTATGCGGGAGGGTTTTGATCATAGAATCATAGAATGGTTTGGGTTGGAAGGGACCTTAAGGATTATCTCATTCCAGCCCCCCTGCCATGGGCAGGGACACTTCCCACTAGACCAGGTTGCTCAAAGCCCCATCCAGCCTGGCCTTGGACACTTCCAGGGAGGGGCTTCTACAACTTCCCAGTTTTTTATGCAGGCCAGGGTATGGTTGTGTTTTTGGGCTGCAAGTGCTCATTCCTGGCTCATGTTCAGGTTTACATCCATCGAGCTGATGGATCGAGCTTATCGATGATCGAGCGGATGATCATCGATGATCGAGCGGATGATCATCGATGATCGAGCGGATGATCATCGATGATCGAGCGGATGATCATCGATGATCGAGCGGACGATCTGTGTTTTTGGGCTGCAAGTGCTCATTCCTGGCTCATGTTCAGGTTTACATCCATCGAGCTGATGGATCGAGCTTATCGATGATCGAGCGGATGATCATCGATGATCGAGCGGATGATCATCGATGATCGAGCGGATGATCATCGATGATCGAGCGGATGATCATCGAACTGAGTCCTCTGCAGCGCTGCTCTCAATCCACTCGTCTCCCAACCTGTATTAGTGCTTTTGGGATTGCCCGGACCTGGGTGCAGGACCTTGCATGCTCCTTTTACTTTTCATTGAAAACCTTTCCCTCTGGCATCATTTGTTCATAATCTTAACTGTTTAGCTGTCCTTTGTGAGTTGGGTCAATTTGAACTGGAAAGAATGATATCTGGGAGTTTCTCCTAGAATATTAATCTCTCTTAGAGTTCCTTCTTAAACTACTGGCAGTGGTTGGGGTTTCTTGTAATTCCACCATGGAAATAAAGTGTCCCCGTGAATTCAGATATGGACCAGGGTCATCGTGATTGTTTGTTAGGTCCAGAGGCAGCAGCAATAAGACACAAACCTGATTAAGCAACAAAAGGATAAATGGTGGAAAGAAGAATTTTAAAGACGTTAACTATTGTTTTGAGAAGAGCAAATTTTTATAGTATCCCATATGATCGTGTTGATTCTGTGAGGTGAAAGAAGATAGTACAGACTCAAATTCACTTACACAGTAAGCTTGGAATATATATGTATTTCTTATCTTTTCATTAGCGTCTTAAAATACTACAGGGCCTTCCTAAGGCTGGCAACATGCAGGCTTTCCAAAACAAGAAGACAAAATGGTATCTGATGTACTCTGTTGCTTTATTTATCTTTATTTCTTTTTTCTTTTTTAGAGGATGGGGTGGGAGGAGTTATTGATTTCTATAGATTCTATAGAATGATTCTATAGAATGGCCTAGGCTGGAAGGGACCTTAGAGATCATCTAGTCCAACCTCCCTGTCATGGGCAGGGACGCCACCTCTCGACTGACCAGGCAACACATGGGGACCGAGCGGGAATCGAACCCGCGACCTCGGTGTTGAACACTGTCAGCACCGCGCTCAAACTTCCACTTTGACATTGATACATTTTTAGGGGAAAGACAGGATATTAATAGTATAGTATGTATAATATGGAGTAAACCCCCACCCAAGATTTGGGACCTTATTGTTAAAAAAGAAATAATTTTGCTTTATCTCAATGATGATGACTAAGGCATTGAATAATGAAATTATATTGCTCTTACCCATATTTATTTTTTGTTCTGGCTTCACGTGAATATACATGTTTGTTGCAGAGAACTTCATGACTGATGTCACAGTGGATGTATAGGGACTTCATTGAAAAATTAAAGTGTCAGGGATGATAATGGAAAGTAGTATTTTCTGTCTGTAAAATTAATGTAGGCATTTGAGCTTCATCATTCTCTTCTAATGGAATTTTCTTTCTCCCTGCAATGCCTCTAAATAGCTACCCATGATACTTTGTTCAGAGTTGAAATTTCAGCTGAAAATAGGCTGTAGATGAGATAGTCTGCAAAACACAGAATGTCTGTCCTTGTTTATGTGAGTTGAAGCTACTAATGCTTAGTTTAAAACAAACAAAAGAACAGAATAAAAACTGACAAAAATCCCACACTCACTACAGCTCTACTGAACAAAAATTATGTCCTTTGCTTCTTCGCCTACTGGTTGCTAACATTGTTGAAATTGGCTGTTGCGTGCTAGTGATGGAAGATAATATGTATCTTGCTTAGGATGTGTAACTTTCCTTTTTGAGAATGTTAAGCAGGGTGCCAACTCGTTGCTGTTTTATGGAAGCTCAGGAACAGCAGTTGTCATAGAGCATCGTAGAATCATTCAGGTTGAAAAAAACCCTTGGGATCATCGAGTCCAACCATTAACCCTACTCTGCAAAGCTCACCCCTAAACCACATACCCCAGCACCACATCTAAACAAATTGTATGGATGTGGAGTGAGAATGACAGTGCTTCTCCTCCTGGACAGTTCTTTTCGTTTCAAAACTCTTGGAGTGGAGCATCTTAGCCAGTCTAGCAGCCCTGCATGTTTCCCCCAGGAGATGAAGCAGCCTTTTACTTGCCTCATTCCAGTCCCTTCTGGCAGCTGGTATTTGGGACATGCTGTTCCTACTTCAGCAGCTGAGGGCCAACACCCCAACTTGCTCCTGTAGCTCACACCACAGGCCTGGGGCACCTGTACCCCGATTTGATGCCTCTTGCTGGCCCAGTGTCGTCTTCTTATGCTGGTCTCACCAGCAGCTGGCACTTAGTCCTTGCAGCACGCACCCCTGCACGGGACGTGATTTCAGAAGAAGATGGGACTGACCACCACGATGAGGCATAGGGCTCAGTCACACAAACATGCCTACCAGCCCCGCTTTACCTGCAACTGGCCCCTTCTTTCTGCTTGTTTCCCACCCTGTTCCTCCCCAACTCCCTTCAGCCTTACGGCCCCTCACTTGGTGTTCCTGCCCAGGTTTGTTTTTTGTCTCTGTCTCGGTTATGTTTGTCTTCAGGTTGGTGTCTCTGTATACTTTGTTTATAGCTTCACCTTTTTCTTTATCATCCTGTTTTGAAAAGGTCCTTCATCAGATAATCTAACTAAACAGAACACTCCTACATCCCCAATAACCTTAATTATAGGTGAGGCTGAGTAGATTTCGTTCTTGTTACTGCCTCCCTCATAATTTATTAGTTAGATTTGTATCCCAGCATGTTCTTCCTTATGTATTCTCCCTCTTCATATTGTCCCCTTTCTTATTGAAAAGGTCCTTGTCCAGACACCCTTAAGGTTATCCACATAACTTTGCAGTGGTCATCAGAATTTTTGTCTATGTTAATTTGCCTTGTATAAAATTAGAAAGGAGCAAAGAAATGTAAATCTTTGTAGGTAAAAGACCAGAGTTAAATATGCAAGTATGCATAGAGAGAATTCTCTTGCTGGTTGGCGTAAGAGATTATAACATTATTGAAAGTGCTGTAGTGACGTCCTCTAAATGTCAGAGATACTGAGAAAATATCTGAATTAACAAGAAAAAGGAGGCTTTGATTTATAAGAAGTAGTTAACAGCCTGTGCAGTGTCAAGAGCACATAATGATTATGAATCAAAGGAGAAGATGAGTCACTTTGACATTATCAGGTTTAGACATCTTGTGGAGAACCTACTCTGATGTTTTTTGACCTTTTCACTTTCATTTAATTGTACTATATATGACATTGCTTGTGTAGAAATAAATACGACTTGCATCAGTGGTTGTTATAGAGACAAGACAGGTAAGATGAGAAAACATGCGTTTTCTTTCTGCTGTTCAGACTGCTCTTTTAGAAAAGTCAACAGATGGTGCAGCCTCTTAAACATGTGATGACCCTTTTTCTCTGATAACTGCAACCTTTTTTAAATTGCTTTATTTGAAATCTGTAGTTGAAATATCTGATTTAAAATATTCTATCTTCAGTAACAGATGAATGGGTTGCTTTGCATACAAACACTGTTGTCCTGGTTTGATTAATTATTATGAAAGAATTTGCATAGAATAGTTTCATATATTTTGTCACTGTTAGCAGAGAGAGGAGTTTTTGCAAAGGCATTTAAATACAATTCTGCCAAATTTGAACTTCCTTATGAATTTTTGACAAGCTGAATTTTGTATTGTAAAAGTATGAGGAATTCTACATGAGCCCATCCAGTGGACATCTTGCTGCAGAATGACTTAGCTATAACAAGAAATTAGTTAATTTTGTGTAATTGTGTGTTACATTTAAGTTCCCTTAGTGCATAAAACAGAGAAAGAGGTGGTTTTGTATCATACCTTCCAGTTCTTTCTCTGATGCCTCCCACTGTCACTCATGTGTATGAGGTGCCTGGGTTTGCACTTGAAGGTCCCATGGCATCTTTATAAGGTTCTCATTCACCAGGTTTCAAGCACATGACCCTCCCATGAAAAAGACAGTTATGCAATACCAATTAGTCTAGTTGCAGGTTTCATTATCTTTCAGGATCTCTGCTCTCTTTTGCCTGGGGGTTTTACCATGTGCAAAATCCGTAGAAGCCTGGCCTGCTTTACTGTCAACGAATAATGTGCAGTGAGTAAGGGCTGGATGGGCCTTTCCCCTCTTTCTTTCCTTGTCATATATTCCTTTAGCCACTTGTTATTCAAAGAAATTATTACAGGAAGACATAGATGCTTTAATATATCAAAAATAATACTTTGCAAAGATATCTGATTTTGTGCTACGTTTAAAAGCACATGGTGTTTAAAATTGTATTTCTTTTTCTTTTTTTTCCTTGATCGAATGGACATGTGTTCTTGAATTATGCTAGAAAACACATTCCTGTTCCATTTTTAGGAAGAACAGTTTAGTTAATATGTATGTCTCCTCTGTAACCGCGCAGGTGAAGTAAGATATCTCTAACATAAGCATAGGCAAAAATGTTTTTACTGTGAAAGTGGTGAAACACGGGAATAGGTTTTCTAGGGAGACTGTGGAGTCTCTGACCATGGAAGTACTCAAACCCTGACTAGACAGGGCTCTGAGGCGACTGGCTCTAGGTGGCCTTTCTCTGAGCAGGGACCTTGGACTAGGTGATCTCCAGAGGCCGCTTTCTACCTTAGTCATTTTGTGATTCTGTGAAATTTATAGTGTTTATATATCATTGCTATCAAAACAAAATAAAAAAATAAAACATCATCTGCTGTAATAAAAAAAATAATTCACCACTTGGTTTATTGAAAAGTTGCTTATAACTTAGAAGCCAGGAAAAAAATCCCTAGGTCATTCTGCTTGTATTGGATTTACCACACCAATGGAGGAAAAATACAGATCACTGAATTTCTCCTGCTGCTATTAGTTGGTAGGATTCTTTGTCATAACTTGAAGAAGCAATTTTGTTGAGCAGGGACTCATTATAAACAATGAAATATGTTAACAAAAAAAGTAGAATGCCTTCTTTGTAAATTGATTTTCTATATTTAGAAAGATTTGAGTAAGATTCCACCCCTTATCACTGGAATTTATTTTAAGAAGTTTTATTTGACTTGCTGGTGCAGTGAAGTTCACCTTTAGATCAGAACAGTATTTCTTTTAAAATATGACACATAGACGTCTTTTATCACAGTTTTAATCGTTAAACCAGTCAGTGTAGCATTGGAACATTGATTCAAAACTAGCACAACTGACCTAATATGTTTCCATCTGAAAACGAGTAAAGGGGTCTTGAGTTGAGTGGAGCCACCTTAAAAATCTTAGAGAAGACAAGGTGCTTAATTTCTTGTTTGCTCTGATTGTGATGTATTTTTGGTGACTAGATAACTTCTTTCAAATCAAAAATATTTAGACTAAAACTACTGTAATCACAAATTCTTGGTGACACTTTCTGTGTAGGTTCTGAAGACTTTTCCTTCTTAGACCTAGAATGGTGAGGTATCATTCTTGGCTGGTATCAGGAGAGCACTAGCACACATTTTTTTCCTCTTATGTGGCTGTTAAAGTGTAATTTCAAGGCTCTCTTGATGCTTATTAGAATTAACTGCAGTGTCCACCTCAGCAGTGTCCATCTAAAAATATGCTCCTGATATTTTCACTTGGAGTACATCAGACCTAATTATTATCATTGTTGTGTATATGTGTATCTTACTGGTGTGATATATAACATAAATTAAACACTACACTGAATGTGTGTTTAACAGTATAATTAAAAATATTTTTGATTACAAATACACGTTGGAACTAAAGGCTAGTACCCAATGTGATTTTGGTCTATGGTTTTAGATGGCACTAACACTGAAAAAAATTTTTAGTGTATATATTTATAGAATAACATTGAACAGTAAAGGAATCTAATGCTTATTTTCCCCTTTCTTTTTATTTATTCAGTGGAACAAGTTCCTGTGGAGCCCTACAACATTCCCCTGTCTCAAGCTGAGGTGCTGCAGACAGGCAGCGATGTGACACTGGTTGCTTGGGGTACCCAGGTGAGTAAGGCTTGTATGGGCAATTTGGCATTCAGCAAAGCCTAGACTCAGGGTTAGATGATGTCTGAATAATGTTGTGTTCAGGCTGAAGTGCCAGACAGTAATTGGTGAGCGTCTTCCATCCCTATAAGCTTGAATAAATGATTGCCAATGTTAAGCTCGATACAAAACCTGCTTTTTGCTGTGTAAGATTTTACTCTTTTCTGGTTGGAGCTGACTCTGGTAATGCAGAAGAGGTACCTGTGCAGGAGGTAAATGATATATCCATGTTTATGAAAGTAATATGTTTAAGAATGGGACAGTGACTCTGAGGAAGGCAATGGGAAAGGAGAGTTCAAAGTCGTATGCTGAAAGAAAAGTGTAGATTTTATTTATTTATTTACTTAATTTTTTAACTGCATGATTTTAAAAAGTACAGTCTGGAGTTCCCTTTATACAGAGAGTTTAAATACACTGAACATGTAATACAGATGGGAATAGATACAGTTTTCTAACTGTATCTAAATAGATACAGATTCTAACAGTTATATTTCAGAGTTGTTCAAGAATATGACTCAACAATCCCCCTCTTTCCCCAGATTAAGATCTGCAAATATTGAAAAGTCTGGTTAAAAAGTGCTCATTTTCAAGAACTATAGAAAAGAAATTTGAGTGTAGTTTGGCACTACCAGAAGAAAATATTATTGCCTTTAACCTATAATTAAGAAAATGCTATTTTCCTGACCTAATTATATCTGAGGAGCTTTTCGAGGAGGGAGTGTTGTAATTTCCATCACAATCGTATTGAATTGATCTCTAGAGTTGTGCCTTTTGTGTTTGGTTGTTTCTTTTTCTTTTTTTTTTTCTTTGAAATCTGTGACCTTCAGTGCTTTTTACAGAATCACAGAATGTCAGGGGTTGGAAGGGACCTCAAAAGATCATCTAGTCCAGCCCCCCTGCCAGAGCAGGATCACCTACAGTAGGTCACACAGGAACACGTCCAGGCAGGTTTTGAATGTCTCCAGAGAAGGAGACTCCACAACCTCCCTGGGCAGCCTGTGCCAGGGCTCTGTCACCCTCACAGGGAAAAAGTTTTTTCTAATATTTCTGTGGAACCAATATTGATACTTTCCTTGTCCTCAGGCTAGTTTATCTAGTACGTTATTCCTACTAGCCTCTGATATTCTGCACTGATATTAAATTATAGAGTCCTTCAGTATCTTTACTTGTACTCGTTTCTCCAGCAGAAAACAGTTTCTATAGTTCTCCCTGTTCCCTTTTGAAAGTGCAAAGTTTTGCTCTGTTTGGATCAAATTTTAGTGCTCATCGTATTCCCCAAAACTGAACTGATAAAGTAATAGCTTGAAATTTGGCTATGGAGATTTAATAATATCCTGACTTTACCCAATAGCCAGTAGTGCAGAGAGAACTTGGAGTGACATCCTGTAGTGGTTTGACCCTGGCTGGTGGCCAGGTGCCCACGCAGCTGCTCTATCACCCCCCCTTTTCTGGTAGATGGAGAGGAGAGAGAAGATGTATCGAAGGACCCATGGTTTGAGATAAGGACAGGGAAATCACTTGCATCTACTGTGTCGGGCAAAACAGACTCAATTTTGGGGAAATTAGTTAAGTTTATTAACGAACAAATCAGAGAAGAGTAGTGAGAAATAAAAAAAATCTTTAAAAAAAACTCCACCCTCCCCCATCCCTTTCTTCCTCCTGGGCAAAATATTAATCTCAGTTTATCCACCTCCTCCCCCCGAGCGGCACAGGGGCACAGGGAGTGGGAGTTACGGTCAGTTCATCCAATGTTGTCTCCACCGCTGCCTCCTCCTCCGAGGGAGGACTCCTCACTCTTCCCTGGGGCTGTTGTGGGGTCCCTCTCATGGGAGACAATCTTCACACACTTTTCTCCAACGTGAGTCCCCTCACGAGGGGCAATTCATCACAAACTGCCCAATGTCAGACACCTCGCAGAGGGAAATATGCTCCAACGTGAGTCTGAGGTGGAGAAACTGCTCCAGCGCGAGACCCCACAGCATCACAAAAGTCCCACCAGCTGACCTGCTCCAGCGTGGGCATTCCTCTCTTCCATGGGCTGCAGGCTCTGGCAGCAACCTGCTCCAGTGGGGGCTTCCCATGGGGTCACAGCTCCCTTCCGGCATCCACCTGCTCCAGCATGGCGTCCTTCACAGGCTGCAGGTGCACATCTGGTCCACCGTTAACTTTCATGGATTGTAGGGGGACAGCCTGCCTCATCATGGTCTTCACCACACCAGGGGGCTCTCTGCTCTGGTGCCTGGAGCACATCCTCCCCCCCCACCCCCTGCCTTCTTCACTGACCTTGCTGTCTTAACATATTTTCACTCCTTTCTCTCTCTCTGCCAGTTGTTGTGTGGTGCAGTTCTTTTTTCCCTGTTTCTTAAATATGTTTTCACAGCGGCGTTCCTGTCCTGTCACTACTGATAGGCTCAGCCTTGGCCAGCGAGGGGTCCGTCTTTGGAGCCAGCTGGCACTGGCTCTGTCAGACTTAGGGGAAGCTTCTAGCAGCTTCTTGCAGAAGCCACCCCTACAGTCCCCCCACCACTAAAATCTGGCCAGGCAAACCCAATACGCATCTTTCAGAAAAAGCTGCATGTTTTGGAGCTTGGAAAATGTAGGCCAAGTGTTAAGATGGGCAGTTCTTTTGATGTGGATAGTAAGAGGACAGATGTGCAGCCCTAATCCAGATGTCGGATCTGACCAAGCCATGGGTGTGGCTGTGTACTACAGCATGGGGACAGATGCTTAGCACAAACACAGTAAATCTAGCGTGTTCCAGATTTGTCAGGCTTCTGCTGATCAAATGTATTCCCTGAGTTTGTGCTGCGGGTGCTGAACTCAGAACTCAATGGCTAAATGTGCAACCAGTCCAGAGTTTATTGCTGAGAGGCAGAGGGATTGCACGTACTCACTGGTAACTTCTTGTGTAATTTGGGACATTGGGTCCTTGTTAGGCAGCTGCTGCTCTAGCGGGTTTGCCTAATGCTTGCTTTTCTCAACGGTACTAATGAGGGGCAGTAAAGGTTTTTAGTTCTCTTCAGTTGCCCTCAGCGTTTTATGGACACAGGGGGCCGGTTAGCTCAGTCCGTTGAGCGTAGCGCTAACAACGCCAAGGTCGTGGGTTCGATTCCTGTTTGGTCCCCATGTGTTGCCTGATCTAGTCGAGAGGTGGTGTCCCTGGCGGCAGGGAGGCTGGATTAAAATGATCTCTAAGGTCCCTTCCAGCCTAGGCCATTCTATGATTCTACGAAAACTAATCCTTATCCCCTGTGAACTTGGTAAATGTTCTCACTGATACATCAGAAAAACAGCAAAAACACCCACCCCATATGTCATGTCAAAAATTCTCAAACCTTATTACAGCCACAGATGTATTAGAAGTGTAAACAAAAATGCTGCAAGCTATCTTTATTACTATTATTATCATTATTATCATTATAGTTGTACTGATTTACCTTTTAAAACAGTCCTTTGGTGTTTAACTATTCGTATTTGCAATCTGTAGATGGATGTTTAAATCCTTAATCTTGTTGCATAGTTTCTTGTTCATATCTAGTATTTAATATGCTCTCTAACCCTCAGGCAACTGATACTGCCTGACCAGGTCTATATATATTTTTAGATTCTGTTGTCTTCCTGACTGGTATGACCTCATCCAAATTGCTTGTTGTGGATGGTTCTTGTCCTTCAACCCCTGACCTTTGCCTTGAAGTTACTTGATCTGCCTCAGTCCAAACCTGTATTATAAAATGTTCAAACATTAAGGAAAACATCAGAATTTATTGCCAACATCATATTGAGAAATTCTTTTTTTACCCGCATATCTCGTGAGCAAATACTTTTTGCCGAGATATTTGTGGCGGATAATGTGAGTTGTTATCCAAAAATCAAAATTGACTACAAATATAAAATAGTGAGAGCTGGTACTGTTCGCAGAAAGATACTTTTCTAGAAAGCAACAGTTTTGTTTTCAATGATTGTTCACTGAAGATAGTTTTTGAAGTGGTGCTAAAATACTGGGAATAATGTTGGTAAATAAGAATGAACTGAGTAATGCTTATTAGATTACTGACCTTTAAAGGTCTCTTCCAACCCAATGCATTCTATGATTCTGTGATACTAAACATGCAGGTAATAAATCACTGCGTGCATTCAGTACTTGTTGTTTAGAACTTCTTAAACTAAACTTAGATGCTTACTTGGTGATAGTGCATTGTCTTTTCAGGTACATGTGATCAAAGAAGTGGCAGCAATGGCTCAAGAAAAGCTTGGTGTGTCCTGTGAAGTCATTGACCTGAGGACCATCTTACCCTGGGATACAGAGACTGTTTGCAAGGTAAGGAAATGATGCATTTTAATTTAAAAATGAGCAAACTTAAAAGCCTAAGTAATACAAACAATTTAAATGCAAATAATAACTTTGTTCTTTAAGTTTTTTCAAGGCCTGCATTTTTCCTCTGCATTGCATATATGATTCTGTGGTTTTTTTATGTATCAGATATGAAGAGTAAATGCCCAGTACATGAACCAAGCATTTGCTTTAGTATCGAATGTGAATTATGTTTCAGGGTTCAAAATAGTGTTAGAACAGATGTTCTTTGCATTGAAGCAGAGAGCAGGATTTCAGCAGACTTCTGCTTGAAAACTGCTTTTCCATGATTTCTGGCTCTTTCTATCACTTTTATTGTCTTTGGAACTGAAAAGATCAGGTGAAATCTTACTCTCTCTCTTTTCTGGCTATTTTATGCCAAGACCCTTATCTAGTTTTAGGTCTGCAATAAATATGCCTTAGTTTTTGTTTATCCATATTTCTGGGAATAAATGATTTGATTTTAGGAATATATTCTTGAGCTGGGACGAAAACACAGCATTTACTGTTCTTACACTATCTGGTTTGAAATTCATGGATACTATGAAATCCTCGTCAGCTTTGTGGGAGTCTTTGATTATGCAAAGATTCTTTATTTTTTTTTTAAAGCACTAAAGCTGGAATTTGAATTTCCATATACTGAGAAACCCTGCAAAGTAGTTATTGTACTTACATATATCTGGATCTGCTTACCTTCTCCCCTCCCTCCCCATCCTCCTGCACTGCTTTCTCTTCAGCAGCTAACAGCTACTGGGAGGAAAGACCTTAAAGGATATAGAAGGGAGAGTATTTCCCCAAAGTGTTTGTAAATATAAGTAAGAATCTCAAGGTGTGCTTTTTAAAAATGCCATCTGGGAAATTAAAACAAACAAACAAACAACCACCAAAAACGCTGGAGATCATTCAAGCAAAACTTTGTGTCTCTGGTAAACTTGATTTCTTCCCTCCTGACTATTACCTAATTTTTTTCCTGTTGTCCTGAATTAGCAATTTTTGTCTGCATTATTGCCTGTAATCCTTTTTATGTTTTTTCCTTCATTTTTCACTTAGCTGTTTGATGAGGTGCTTATAACTTTATAAATCCATCAATAAACTTAGATTCTGCAAAATAAATGTTAATATTGCTGTTTTGGGAGCACTCTTATAGGCAGGTCTTTTTCATAGCTACCTCATGCAAATTAGTCTGAAGTCTCTTCTGTGAAGCCACTTTTTGTCAGGCTACTTGAGAACACATAGCCAATGGTTTACCACTCATCTTATGGTAACAGCTCCCTTGATTTAAGCTTGGACAAGCGTGTGGGTTAGCAAAACACTTGCTGCTTCTGTTAGAGCTGTGACTTTCCTTAAGCTGGCAAATCCACAGTCCTGCAGGACCGTGGCTAACCCACTTTTTGGGTCCTAAGGCAGTCTCTGTACACTAGCTTGTTTTATTCTGATGATCAAGTGACTCTGTAACTTGGGTGATGTCTACAGTTGATTAACTCAAGCCTGATAACTACAGTATACTGAGTTAAGATAACCATAGAAATGAGAAGAGCCATGGGTTTGAAAAACTTATGTGCTTCCATCAAGTATCTTTTCTGTCTGCAGTATCTAATTTAAGGCAACATGGTGTCATACCTACAGCTAAGACAAACTGTGCAGGTGTTTAAATAGGGCAGATCAGGCACACCTCCTTATCTGACTCTATATTTAGAGTATCTTAATTGTGTAGATGAGTGTTTTGTCACTCTCTAGTAAGGGGCTTGCTCTTGATCAGGTAAAGTATAAAACGATTAAGTATGATAAAGGGAAAAATGAGCAGTTGGTCTGCTACTTCTGTTTCTTCACAGTGTGAATTTTGCTATTATGTTTGTTTGAGGGACTGCGTGTAGAACTGGATCGAGCAAATTATGGGAGTAAAGGTCTGAGTTGGCTGTCTGCTACTGGCAATGTCCTATTGTCCGGTTATGGATGTGTAACAAGTTGTGTGCGTGCCCGCATAGCTATGTGTTGCTTCATATAAATTTGATCTCAGCTGAAGGGTGTCTGTTAGCAGTGTATTTCATGTTACTTGGATGTACTTTCTATCTGTAAAAAGTTGAAGTGTGTTGAGATGTTGTCATCAATATGAAGAGAAACTTTGGCAGTAATAAACGCTTTAGAATCCTTTCTGGACAAGTAATATTATTCCATTTTTTTAGCTACATTTTTTTCCTTCTTTAAAGTTTTGAGCTGTCATTCTATGAAAATAAAGCATCTCTTTGAAAGACCAGTTAAGTCTGGTTCTGTCAGGGGAGGTTCAGGTTGGATATTAGGAAGAATTTCTACACGGAAAGGGTTGTCAACCATTGGAACAGGCTGCCCAGGGAGGGGGTTGAGTCACCGACCCTGGATGTGTTTAAGAGACGGGTGGGTGTTGCCTTGGGGGGAATTGTTTAGTAGGTTGATAGGGCTGGCACAAAGGCTGGACTCGATCTTCTAGGTCTCTTCCAGCTAATAAGATTCTATGATTCTGTGGTTGGACCTGCACTGAAGCACTGTCAGGAAAAAATGCAGCTGTGCATAGGAAGCGCGGAGCTCTAGTTGCACAATGTTTTGCAAATCTGCGTTTTAAAAATAGATATTCTGTGAAGATTTTCAGCTTGTGCTCCATCCTGAACATCTTTTAAGGTAACTGTGGTGTAAATAAAAAGATGGGATAGACCTTCAAGACAAATATAGCGCACATTGGCTAGGCAGTTCAGCTGTTCATTTTCATAAATACCAAATAGTAGTTGTTTTTAGCATCGCTCTTATGTTAGTATGGCTGCAGGCTGGCCAGTCTGATAATGGGAGAAATATTAAATTACCTTCTTAAGTCGATCTTGTCTGTTTCGTTAGCTGAAAGTAATTAGTGGTTTACATTTGGCACTATGCAGCATTGAAACTTTTTAACTTAATTTGCATCTGGGACAGCTTTTAAGGTAATCGCCAACATAAACAGAAGGATGGAAACTGTAGCTGTAGCTGCTTGCTGTAGCCTTATTCCAAGAGGAGCTACTTGGTGCAGCTGTTGCAGATGACAGTTGCTTGTGGTGTTAGTTCTGGTGATGGGGCTTGCTATTCTCTTCATGAGACGCCAGTGCCAAGGACCAAGAGAGTGGTAGGAAAATTGGCCATGCCAGAGAAGGTCCCTGGTGTCCATTGCTCTGTGTAAGCTCTCTCTGTGGGCTCTTAGATGATGATGGGATTGCTTTTACTCCAGTCCAGCCAATAAGAAAAACATCAGCTGTTACAGGCGGCCCTTTGCCTCAGGCTGCTACTTGTGTCAGCCTCCTTCATTCTCAGGCCAAATTTTTATGCTTTTGCTTGTCTTACATATGTCTTTGGAATACATCTGTCATCTCTGTGTCCTGTTGGATGCAGAGAAGGATGGTACATGTGATACGCCGCAGCCCTGTTGCCCTTCTGCTGCTGCTGGGGTGCATGGTCCTGTGCTCATGGGAGTCTGTGCTGTGATCTTACTGGAGAGCAGGGCTTTGGGTTATGATGTAAAAACACATCCTTTGGTTTTACTGCTGGGAGCAGTGTCCTTTGTGATCAGTACATGCTGTTAATTTAGTCTTTGGCTGCAGCTTTCAGTCCCTGCACTTACATGTCCCTGTTCACATCTTCCATACCAACTGTATCACGCCTGTTATGATTCTCCATGTTACGAGGATTCTCCCGTCTGCCAGCTCTTTCTTGAAGGCTGAAGCCTTAACTAGCTTCTTGTAGACTGTGTGATTTTATTTTTTTTATTTATTTTTCCCTAATCATCTGTCTAACCTTTGGGTTCCCTGTGTTCCCTATGTGTCAGTGTAATGAAGCTTTAATAAAGGAATTGAATTTTACACGAATCATATACATTTGCCAGTCTAATGTAGGCTTATTTTATTCTTATGCTTACCCAAGATGCTGCATTTTTGTATAGATACATTTCTGTGAATTTTCCTTGTCAGTTTGTGTAATTTTTAAACAAATTGAAGGAGCTTTCATGGTTGGTATTGGTGAATGAGCAGTCTTCATAACCTGAACCTAATTGATAGTATCTTTAGAAATGAAATAACTTTAACATCAAAGCTTTCACTGCAGCTATTTAAAAATGAGGTGCTTTGCATAACTGGAAATAAATGCAGCTTTAAGACTAATATGACAATTGTGCCGTACACATGAAGAAGAATGGACTGCAACGGTTAGTGCTTTGGAGATGAGCAGGATTATGTCAACATTTTCATTGCAAAGCTAACTTCTTAGGTTGTTTTCTCTAGCTGTTTCTACATAGAAAATGGTCATCAAAATACATATTTCATTAAACTCTGAGAAGTTGTACTTCACAACTGCCACCAGAGGCCTCTTTTTAGCCAAGTTAAGCAGCTGCTTTGATTTTGCATTGCTCCTACAAGCGTGTTTATGAATGTATAGCTCTGAGCAAAACACAAATAAATAATTAATTAATATAGTGAACATAAATAAAAATTATTACCTAATTTACTGATATTTTCTTTGCATTTTTAAGATTTTGAGATTATGCTCATTTTTGAAATAGGTTAGCATTTTTCATCTGCTGTGAGATGAGGGTAAACGTGCCTGGAGCAGATTGCCATGGGCTTTAAATGGATCCAAGCAGTAAATGAAACCTCTTTGGTACAATTCCTGGCATGGGTAAATGGGCAAACAGGGGCTAGATTTTTCTTTTGTCAATCTTCAGATGTCTAAGAATGAGTATTGAAGCTTGAACTAATTACAGTAGCTCATACAGCTATTCTAAAAGATATCTCCTGAGGGCCATTCATCCCAGCTGTTTCAGCAGCCTATTTTGGGATGAGATAAATTACCCTCTGGAAATGTATTTGTTTAGAAGTTTGGGTGATGTTGTTGGGTGGGGCTTTTCTTGTGTTTTTTTGTTTTGTTTTTTTTTTCCAGTGTGTGTGTGTGGTTTTGGTTTGTTTATTTATTAAAGTTAA